TTCCTTTTAAAGATTTATAAATATAACAACGAAAGACAAGGATAGCTTCATATGTACGTATCGGAAGACACTTCGACAATTACTGTCCCAAGAAACATCATCAATATCTCAAAACAAAATTCGCTAAATTCTCTATATATCTAGCATCTTAGACACATACGTTATAACGCAACAAATCTAAACAAACGGAGCCATTCAAAACATTTAGTACCTAAATGCAACATCAAACGACAAGGTATCATACCCTTCACAGTATTTGCAATATCACACTAGATATCGTAATACACAAGGTGTGTCGTTATTGACGAGGAATATTTCTTAACACCAAGAGTTTCATAGAGGACCAGGTCATCATATCATGAAACATGTTTATTTTAATTCCTAGTAGTGGAAAATACCAAAACGATAATATCTTAGAACCTAAATTAATTAAATCCGAGTAGTCGAAACAACAAAGTGTCTGATTAGAACTCTCTCTAACAAAGTATATATCAGTGTAGATTTGCTGCAAACCCCAAGTTTTTGTGAAGGTTGCCCTAGCTGCATTTTACTACTAGCTTACATGTATCGGTCCCTTGTTTGAGAACTTATCTAGAATCTGATATCAAAGTGATCCAAATTATAAGAGATTATTTCTAAACATATCAACCGTCTAGAGATTGGGGCTATTCTAGTATAAGTGCTAACTATGTCATTTGTCAGAACGTCTGTAAACTTGCCTAGAAGGATGCACTGGTCCCCTATATCGTGCCTGTTGCCGGCAGTCGTTAACGTACAGTAATAGTCGTAATACATCAGAATTCTTTTTACAAGTAATCCGGTTGATGTCATTTCAAGGCCACGCAAGTGTTTACAATTTATCCACTGTTCACATACCTCATCAGTAAACACTTCTTATAACGTACTTAAGCAATTGGTCAGCTCAGCCAACATTTTTGTATGTTAATTGCAGTTAATTTCCGTTACTTGTTTCAGGTCAAATCAGATTAGCCAACTTAAGTCTTATAATCAACTGTCCTAGGCTTACTAAGAGTTAGTTTTGGTACAGAATTGTTCATGTTTTTCCTCGAGCTTATAATTCAGAATCAGATATCCAGGTGATAGCAACTATCAGAGTCTATTTTTTCCCTTTTTTCTTAATAACTTAATATCCTAAAGACGATGACCACTCTATCAACCGTTAATGTCAACACTGAACTCCGATATAATAACAAATCAAATTTTGTATGTTTTATTTCACAATCATATCCTACCAATTAAGCATATTTACCAAAACTGTATTGAAAGAATATAAGGGAGTGTATACGTGTCATTTCAAAGCAAGTCGATTAACACGTTATCGTCTACAGGGTGACCGGGAACTGTTAAGATATTTCATGTTCATAAGAAAATCATGTCATGGTACTTAATTTGATGCACTTTAATCATTTTTTAAATCATTTTTATTGAATATCGAATTGTCGATAAGCAGACCAAACCGATTAATCAAACACGCCCGAGGCGCTAATACACACGACGCAATGTAATTGAACAGGATCGGAATCGTTAAAGACATATTTGTCCCTTGTTATCAAGAACTGATATTTGGTCTTTGTCCATAGCCGAAAATGGCCATGGGTTACGTCATACATCACATCATTATTCTTTTTATTAATAACATTTCGTATTGAAATATTTTATAATGCAGATGGTCAGCTTAGTTTTTACTCAAAGCGAAAACAGAAATAAAACGGGAAAAGATGACGAGCAAACAGCGACGAATGCTTCTTTCCACAGCGTGAACGCTGTGATCCCTTTCTTAGCAAATGAAGTATAAAACGTATTCGTAGTTTTCTACCCGGTGAAGGTATCATTCTCACACATTGCTATCCTGTTGTAAATTATGTAATATATGCGAATTGTCTTGTAAATCGACGGAATCATAATGAAACAATGTATTTTGATTACCAATAATTGTCATTAGAATACATCAGATGATACACAACGCACAATTCCTACACCTTTTCTAACTATCTTTCCAAGAATACAGACCATAGCAAAAATGTCATGATCAAACACGGAATGGATTTCAGCACAACGAACGGTCGTATATATTTCAAATGTTAACCTTAACTTGAAAGTTATCTTAATGTAAATGCCTTGGTTGTTGTAATATCAAGCTGAGATAACTAGTAATGTGGTACCAATGATATTATGTTATAAATATGTTTGTTTCCCTTTGGGAAATTAAGTTAAAATTTAAATACGTTTCTATTTTAATATCCTACTCATATATCAAAAGTGTTACGCAAAAGTGTATAGATCGTTACCCAAGTGAACACATGTATCTTGTCTACACGTAATCACATTCTCACCAAATAAATAAAATCATACAGAGCTATTATAGCGTCAAATGAATGTTAGTAATTGTTGTAATTATTAGATAGTACTACGTTTCAACCACTATGTGACAAAACGTTTGCAAGGTAATCCCGTATTGAGTCATAGGGATAGGCACAGTAACGGATCACTACGACATCACCTGTGTAGATAGAAACAGTACGGCCATATTTACGGCTGGCTCGCCCGCGGCCAAAGCGTTAATCTAGATATAACCTCGGGCGCTACATAGTCAACAAGGTATTATGTTCGATTTATATTACCGAAGGTATTGTGTTTTTGTAAACACGAAATCAGATATATTTTAATCAATTCATATGTCATCTATTATGTTCGATTTTAAATTCACTTGACTGCTAATAGAATTGTTCTTAATACATGAATTGTCTTACAGATCAAGAAATCGATCGTGTAGGCGAAATTCTTTTATCAAGATTAGTTGTTAAGGTTCTGACCGATAGTGAAACTTGTTTTACAAAAAAATATATCTATATATCTAAAGGAAGTATCAGTTATGATGCCACCTTTTTCTCTATTTTCCATTTTTCTATAGAATCAAAAAACATTTTTATTCATTTATTGTTTTATTATAATTTAGACAAATATCGTTTTCCCTTTATGATAGAAACACTACAGGTACAGAAACCTTATCAATCGTTTGGATAGTACGCTTATTTCTCATTGTACGCAAATCAAAAGTGCACTTGGGTGCAAAATGGAATGGCATAACGTTTAGAACTCTGGAAATTTAACAAAAGAACTTTTTTGTAAAAGAAAAATAATTGACCAACGATGACCAAAAACATTATTAAATGGTGATTGGTATGTTAATGATGACGATGTCTGTTTGGGAAGGGAACTTTAGCAAGAGCTGCAAGAACTACAAATTAACGATGTCAACCAAACTTTAAAGACCTCTTATACTTCATTTAATAAAAAGGAATAAGACTGCACTAATTAAAGGAACAAAATCATTCCGAATTCATATATAATGATCAATTATTCGAAAGTCCAATGTATCACAAAACGAAACTACCCCTCCATGTGTTGATAACGACTCCTTTAAAAACATTATCAGAAATTTGTCAATTTAGCAACGGATAACTAAGATTGGGTTGAATTATTTTTTTTACGATTTTTAAAAGATTATAACAATGCAAAAACAGACCATTAACAGTATGGTTTAAAAATATAGTATTACTCTTAATAATTATATAGAAGTATAAAAGTTTTTTATGTTTTCCTGGTAATTAGTACATACATTTACATATTGAAATAGAATGATATATGTCTTGTTGATAATACTTTGGTTACAATGCCAAGCTGCACTCCAAGCAGTATTGTACATACTACATTTTGGTTTTTGGTACATGATACAAACCTATCACGGTCATACATTAAAAATACACTTTATTATGGAGGGTGTCTATACAAATGTCAACCAATATGACCACCAACTTAATTTAGATTAATTTGTATTAGTCAGCATAAATATTTTGCAAAATCGATGGATGTTTAACAAACATGATTTCATTTCAGATTTTTTTATACCTTTGTTATTGTTTGGTATTGTGCAGGCGCTTCCCTGGCCTAGATACGCATTAAAAGAATTATAAATCACATAAGAATGTAAAATTATGTCCTCCATAATCAAAGGAAATATCTTCAAGCAGTACTATGTTGTAACATTTTACTACCAACGCTTGAAACTCAAAACAGAATACGTAAAGTGGTCCTGTCAGTGTTGCTGTCATGTCCAGTCTTAATGCCTCTATAAATCAGACCAACTGACAACATGAGTGTCACCTCTGAAACCCCTCGTGTCCACAAAGAAAGCACAATGATGACCGATCAGGTGACCATTATTGGACGGTCCTACTCGTTGTCCTGGGTTCGGCCAACTTATTGTCTTAATCACAGGTGATGCACGTCATGTTTGTTTTCTGGTTGGGAGGAAAATCGTGCAGACACATAGCTAAAATAGTTTGTTGGCTCTCCGTTTAATTGATTATTAGTAAGACTTGATTGTTTTTCTTTAATATGTCTTGCCGTCACCGAATGATGGAGTCTAATAAGCATAATAAAACACACGCGTGGAATCAAATAATAAATTGATATCATATGCAAACAAAGACATATGGGCCCTAGGATATTTCAGGAAGTCAAGTCTCCGATAGTTTTCCTCTTAGACAATATGTTTGCTTTGGGTTTTGGTAACCAATGACACAGCATGTGCTTACAGATTTTTTTCTAGGAAATAGATGAATGCAATATCACTGAGCATAACAAACAGAAGAAATATTTGATACCGCAATTAATTTAAATCTACAGTACATCCACATTACCATTTAAAAAGGATTTTTTTTCTGTCAGATTTTACACTGAAACGATGGTGTCTGTCACAACAAAGTATTACTGACATTATCTCATTTAATAATACACAAGGGGAGGTAATTTGGCGACAGCAGGTCAATATACTCAATAATATCGTTGTTGTTTGTTTTGCATCCCCAGGAAATTTCAACAATTCGCCAAAGTGATTTGAACTTTGAGTATAATGCCTTATTATAAATGTAAATAGTCTTTTATATATTTGACAACATACGATGTCAGTTACTTACTTGACAGTGTGATTGGTCAGAGGAGCATTCTCGTTCTCCATTGCGTACAGGGCGATCTTGAGTCCCCCCACACTGGTAGCGGCACTAAATCCATGATATTCCTTAGTAGGAGCCATCCAGGCTATACGAAATTCGTGACTACTTGACGTTTCCAGTTGCAATAACAAGACTAAAAGAAAATTCCAGAGGTTTCGTTTCATATTCATTACGAATTCGTGTATGTAAAGTAGTTATTTGATGTAAATAACACTCGCACACATACACCTTAGATTTACTCACCGACAGATGAAATTACCACATTATCCTTGAGATGTTAAGGTATACAAACGGAAGACACTGGTAATATTTATAATCCTTGTAAGTGAATAAATACAAAAATGGTCCTGATGGTCAAAGAAAGATAAGAAAAGTTCGAAAAGTTGACATCATAATCTCAAAATAAGAAAGCCTCCATCTTTTTCCCAAGATACCTTTTTAGCCTGTCATTCATTTCGCAAGGTGGTTGCTGTGACGTCAGCCTCGGGGCACCAATGGAAGACGTCGTTACGAATGATGGATGGTAATGCCATCTGAAGTACACTGCGCCAGGTAAGTTTCCGCTCAGTGTTAGCACGGCCAGGTAAGATACATTAACGAATACAAAAGAAATGGACATATTGCCATGTGTCATTTTTATTATCTAAAGACGTTTCTTGTTATGTACATGTGATGTGTATGTATAGACCCATCAACTATCTTAACAAGAATATCTAGGAAAAGATAACTCCTTACAAATTCATATAAACACGTGGATATTCTAACGTTCATAACTAAATCATTATTATTTTTAATCTGTAATTAGAAAATACAAATATAAAAATTTGAAAACACTTATTTGAATGTCATTAGCCAATGTCTTAACATATATTGATATGAGTAACAAAAAAACTCCTCAACTGATTCACACATAAAATATAGTTTAATGCTTTATTTTACAATAAGACGTCGCGATATCTTGTATCAACTTTATACAATTTTATCGACAGATAAGAGGTATCAATATTATAACAAGCTCGGACAAAAACGTACTACTTCAACTTACATAAAAACGATACTTTCGATTTGAAAAATTAAATAAATATATAAAAAAATAAATGGATATCGTTATTATAGTAATCGCTTTGTCGGTGCGCCCGTGTGTGCATCCGTCCGTCTGTACTAAAAAAAGTCCTTGTTCAAGATATTTCATGAGCCCTTTAACCATATTTGGTTTATATTTACCCCATAGTATAGTAATATCAGGTTATACACCTGGGTGAAATAGATATATATATATACTACTCACATTTTGCTAAGGATCACCTATATTTTTAAAAAAATATCAAAATGTTAGAAAGGATATTGTATTTTCCTTACGTATAGTTTTTGGCGAATATGTTATCCTTCCAAATCGCCCTGTGTGGGTGTGTTCAGTCAACCATAAAATCGACTGCACGCTTTTCCACGTGTTCACCCTTTTCAAAAGCTGAGCTAGGCTAAGTAAGGCGTTGTTCAAATTGTTAAGGAAATCAATTTGATGAATATTCTTTGAGCGTTTTTTGTTTTAATATGGCACAAAGACGAACCAGACAACGGTTAAATGACGGTCAAATGAATAGGGGCATCGGGATGCTGCAAGCTAGCATGTCTCAACGACAGGTTGCAGAAGACATTGGGATGTCTCAAAGTGTGGTGGCAAAAATGTGGAATCGTTACCAAACTAACGGAAACCCTTCCAGACGTCATGCTGGAGGTCGGTCTATGGGCTACAACGCAGCGCAAAGACCGATTTTTGCTCATACAGGCACGGCGTCACAGGTTCCAGACTGCCACAGCTTTACGAAATGACCTCCTAATACCTCTGGTACCCGGGTAGCTACTTAGACAGTGAGGAGCCGCCTTCATGATGCTTGTTAAAGGTCACGTAGACTAGCAATACGAGTTCCCTTAACTTACGTTGTGGAACATGACCGATATGGCGGAGGTTCAGTGATGGTGTGGGTGGCATAAGCCTTCGTGGGAAAAGTGACCTACATGTCTTCCATAATGTCATCGTTACGGCACGGATTTACTGCGATGAGATGCTTGATGCCTATGTCAGTCACTACACTGGCGCTATCGGCCCTGACGTCATTCTTATGGACGGTAATGCTAGGCAACATAGAGCAGGGGTAACTGAGCAGTATCTACAGCAAGAGACTATTCAACGAATGGGTTGGCCAGCCTGCTCGCCTTATCTTAATCCCATCGAGCATGTGTTGGACATGCTGCAGACAGCTCTCTCTGCCAGAAATGTTCAATCAAGAACGCTCCCCAGTAGCTGGGAACAGCTTTGTTAGCTGAGTGGAACGCTACCCCACAAAACCGGATACGCGATCTCATTCGGGGCATGCGCAGACGTTGTGAATCTGTAATTGATGCTTATGGGCGTCACACTCGATACTAAAACAGTTTCTGTTTATTTAGGATGAGTTTTGTTTAGTTGAAGTGTTTTAGTGAATAGTAATTTAGTTTATTAGTTCACCAAAGTATGGTAACATAAATTGTTATATCTCATTATATTTAAGTGGTTATCGGTCAAGGTTTCAAGGTCGTTCGACGTTGCTGATCTAGTGAGAGCATCTCAGGGTAATATTACATCGGTGAAAAAGCTAGCTTGCCCGAAAGACAGTACTTTCCCCCATATTCCTTGGAAGCTACGGTTTATTTTTCATTTATGAAAGCAACCTTAATTACACAAGAGTGTTGTTCCGTATGTTGTGAGGCAATAGATCGCTGACCCTAGTATAAAAACTGTAAAAGATATATTACCAAGTGATGTTGATAAAACAACCAAACATGACAGAAAACACATTACAAAACGCAACAAAATGACTAAAGTGTCAAAAAAACATAACTCGGAATACAAATCGATAAAACTAGAACAAACAATAAACAAATGAAAGATTTACATCGAGACCATTGAAAACTTTTAAGGAGAAACCGATCAATGTATTAGTCGAATCAAAGTAATGTCACGTCATCGCATTGTGAATTCGGGTAGTGACAAAACAAACCACAAGTCACTTTAATTAACATCATCAAAAACCTTCGTATCACACAATATAAAGATATCTATACACATACCTAACAAATAAGATATAGGTGTGTGCCGACGGATCTCTAACTCTAAGGTGGGATATAGTTAAAGTTTGGAAGTTGATCACAGAGCAGATCCGCAGTCTTTCGTAATTGTATCTCTAATTTAAGTGTGAATGCAATAGAAACAAACACCTCGATCAAATTAAAAAATTCACACCGTTTAGAGGTTTGAAAAAAATAATATTATTATATGCACTTATCATCTCGTCAAAGAAGTTTGTAGTGTAGCTATAAATATTTATTTACTATTACGTGTTCTTCTCATCTCTTGTTAAATTCATTTGTATATATTATAATGACGAAAGTATATCTAATGCATTCTCTCCCACAGCAGCTATAGGTTACCTCACTTTCGACTCATTGAAAGAAACCGCTAGGAATTGGGAAACATTTTTGGTTACCCTTTAGTGGGTAACACACTGATTGTGATTGCATTGGTCATTTTCTAACTATGACGCATATAACAATGCTTTGCGACGTCATCTTCCATTATGACGTCAAAGTTCATTTGTTTCACAGATAGGAAATAGGAATAATATATTCTCAAGAGAAGCATGGTTTTCTTGATGTTTTAACTTAACGTTGAGACAGAATTTCAAACTTTTGATGGTAGATTATTATGTTTATTAACTCTCGTTACATGTTTTTATTTTTAAAATTTGAAAAGACACTCTTTGAAAACTGACTAACTCGAGTTAAGTAACCATGACAACCAACCATCACTCGTTGGAGAACCTTTATAATAATAACAATGGGAAAACAAACAATAATGAAGCAGTTAACATTTTATTATTAATACATATATACGTATGCAATTATAAACAGCAAATATTCAAGGTTAATAGATAATAAATAGTTGATAATGAAATAGTAAATGTTTATGTTCAATATACATTAATATAGAAATAGGTACTGCTGGTATATCACAATCAAACAGCAGGCTCCCGTCTCATTATTTAAGAGTACTGACTCTCCACAGAATTCTGTTGTTCCCCCGTATGACTTGCAAAGCGACGCTTTTCAAAACACACACTATCGTACCTCTGCAAGCAATTAACATTAGTGTAGTCTTATAAACAATTAAACAAAATTCAATTATAAAAGATTAGAAATTGGTTATTGGCGATAACATACTGAACAATGAATTAATTTCTCTCATTTCCGTGCGTGTAAGATATAGCTGTCCGGGGTAAGAAAGGGGTGTAGGAAATTTCTATCTAACAACCCGTTTCACGTGACCTGACGTCAAATTGGCTGAACAATGACGTGACGTCACGAATTCCATAGCCGCAATGCGGAAAGGGCGACGTGATGAAATTAAAACCGTTTACGGTATATTTACCATAATTATGAGAAAGATGAGATTATTTTTTCTGTGTGCAAACATTGTTTGCAAATATGCGGTTCGCTAAATCTGGTTCAGGGGAAAAATTAATATTTTCAAAATGGTAGCCAGTTAAAACGCATTTCCATGCTTTCTGAGATTATACTGGTAGTTGGAATGAGAGAAGAATACTCTTTCATGCCCAGAGGTGAAGGATAAGGAAATCTCACCCTCGGGATTTCCCTATCCTATACACCCCTGGACATGAAAGAGTCTTATAATCTAAGATCCACTCACTATACTAGTTTCTTAACAAAAAGGGGGAAATTAATGCCGCTACATTACTCATTTAATTATGATTTTGTCTAGAGCTGAAATCGAATGTTATTTCAATGCTTTTAGACGATCGAATGATATGGCATTGACAGGTTCGGCATTGAAAAACTGAAATCCCTCTGAACGTAAGTTATGCAGGCGTATGAAAATAAAGGCGGTTCCAGATGGTATGGGACGGATTCTATCCGAACGAATCATCGAGTTCTCTCAAGTTTATAGAGTAATTCCTGTATAATCCGATACATTTGAAACAATTTGGGAAAATAAAAAATAAACTTTTTATATCCAGGCAACATGCAATAGGTTACATACATACATTCAAAAAGTATAAAAAAAACTAAAAAAAAACACCGCACAGTTAGCCTTGGATTAACATCTGAACGCTGTAAAAACGAAAGTTGTCCATACTTTCACCGTTGGTAACTGTACATCGTACATGTTACCATGACACCGTAAGAATATCTTGTCATTTGACACTCTTGCAAAATTATATGCAAACGTTTTTGTTATGACATGACTTTGATCGCAGATTATGTCGAATTCGCTTTGCCATTACTATGAGATTATTCAAGTCCAGTATCACAATCCCGATCCCAACCGCCCCGAGGATGATGCTTGCCCCGTAGCCCAACACCTTGGCCGATGTCCGGCCATCCCACGCGGATGTTAAAGAACGCTTGTATCTATTTGTTTTCTCGCGTTGAATTAGAAGTTCAGTACGAAGTGCTTCGATAATTCGTTTCATTTCTCCCTCGTTAGGATTCAGGGAACAGTTGCGCTGTAGACAGCTACATGTCTGGATAGATGAGACTGTCGAATGTCGAAGGGGACTTGTTGTTATCTTCTCAAAAGCTCTCGATAGAGAAGTCATTCCGACTGATGACGTTATCATTTCCACACTTGTTACCTCTTTATATGTTGACGTCAATTCCTGGGATGTTGTTGTTCTGGCAACAGATACTGACGTCCCTGGAGGAGGAGTCACCGTTTCCAGAGTTGATGAGGTGGTTTCTATTGGAAGGTTTACCGTAGACGTCCCCGCGGTGGCATGGCGCTCACATCCTCCTTGTGGAAATTGTGTCGCTACATTATCACATGACTGTAACAAAATATATAGTATATTACGATTAAATTATATAATAATGACAACAACATTCATTCCATACATTAAAAATGTTTATATATCTTCTAGGTAGAACTAATTAACCTAAATACTTATTTTACCAAGCATGATGTTTTTTATGGAGCAAACCGGACTCTATTTTCCCCATGACTCACCTAGTTGGACAGGTAAAAAGCAATTAATGATAAAAACAAAGCATACAAATACTGCAACCGTCTAACTGAACGGACGATATTAAATAATATTTCAGCTACAGTATGCGGAACATTGCTAGTGAAATAAATTAAAATTAAGATAAAGATCACCTTGAAGATGACACCTGTAGCGAGTTTGGTGATCTACATGTAGTGAGGATGTAAGGAACAGCATTGAGTCTTACATGTCAGTTGAAACCAAGCAATTAAAAAGGTAAACATTATGTGGTTCATTTGCTAATGCAGTATTAGCAATGTCAAAACTGTACCGATCACGTATAAAAAGAGATGCGAATCCTATCGTTGTACCAAACCTGGATTTTGTCGTACAATTTAAAAGATTTGTAAATGTATTGCAATGCATCTTACAGTTTCATTAACAGTTTATCATACAATTATATTGTAATCGGATAGCATTGTACTGTGTATAGTGTAAGCGGCTTTGTCCTTGACCACGTACTTGAGCCTAACTGTAATCCTTCATTGTGTATTACAAGACAAATGAAACGGTTCTAGTCGTATTTAAAACTGTGTAATCTGTAAACACATTCTGTATAAGTACACATTTATCTAACAAGTGATCATTTTGTTTTTTAACACATGCCGTAATTGAAAAGTTATTGTAAAATGATTGTATCATAATCTCATTCCAGACATATATACCTACTTTTTCTGATATGTATGTCCTAATTATCTAGAAAAGGTTTGTACCGACGCTGCATTTGGCTTATCCAATAATAAAATACATTTCATATCAAATTGCTGAAACCGAAAATACTGCATCCTGACATAACTTGCAACAATGGTAAACCGTACCTAGTTTGATATAGCCTTTTCTTCCCCTTTATAACTTTTATTTCTCAGAAACAAAAGTTCAAAAGTCGTCGTCCTTTCGTGTGGAATATTCTGTGTTGACAGTTGTAAGCTTATTCTATCACTCTCCCACATCATACAACAACGACACTGGAAATTACTCCATCACAAACGACTGCCGGGAAATTAAGGTAACAATGTGTTTGGAAGGCGCGGTCATTATTTAGTATGTGTGTGCATATGTGCGTGCGTTAGTGCTTGTGTGTAAAATATATATTACTTTTATGTATATAAATGGGGTGGTTCATTTGCTAATGCAGTATTAGCAATGTCAAAACTGTACCGATCACGTATAAAAAGAGATGCGAATCCTATCGTTGTACCAAACCTGGATTTTGTCGTACAATTTAAAAGATTTGTAAATGTATTGCAATGCATCTTACAGTTTCATTAACAGTTTATCATACAATTATATTGTAATCGGATAGCATTGTACTGTGTATAGTGTAAGCGGCTTTGTCCTTGACCACGTACTTGAGCCTAACTGTAATCCTTCATTGTGTATTACAAGACAAATGAAACGGTTCTAGTCGTATTTAAAACTGTGTAATCTGTAAACACATTCTGTATAAGTACACATTTATCTAACAAGTGATCATTTTGTTTTTTAACACATGCCGTAATTGAAAAGTTATTGTAAAATGATTGTATCATAATCTCATTCCAGACATATATACCTACTTTTTCTGATATGTATGTCCTAATTATCTAGAAAAGGTTTGTACCGACGCTGCATTTGGCTTATCCAATAATAAAATACATTTCATATCAAATTGCTGAAACCGAAAATACTGCATCCTGACATAACTTGCAACAATGGTAAACCGTACCTAGTTTGATATAGCCTTTTCTTCCCCTTTATAACTTTTATTTCTCAGAAACAAAAGTTCAAAAGTCGTCGTCCTTTCGTGTGGAATATTCTGTGTTGACAGTTGTAAGCTTATTCTATCACTCTCCCACATCATACAACAACGACACTGGAAATTACTCCATCACAAACGACTGCCGGGAAATTAAGGTAACAATGTGTTTGGAAGGCGCGGTCATTATTTAGTATGTGTGTGCATATGTGCGTGCGTTAGTGCTTGTGTGTAAAATATATATTACTTTTATGTATATAAATGGGAAAGAGACGAATATCACTATTGCAAATATTAGGATATGGGCTTTGAAATGCTGAGTGACAAGGGCTAAACAAAACGTATGTATATATCTTAATGGTTAGTCGATTGACCCCGTACATGTAACTGGACTGAGCAGAGTGTATCTTTAAGTTGGGCATTCTACGAGTACTCACTTAAACTGAATAAATTCAAACCAAAACAAAAGTACGTAGCAGTACACGTGCTTTACTTCATTTCATGCCTTGTTACAAAATAAACCGGTGTATTATTGAACAGGATTCCATATGTTTGTATTATACAGTTTGAACATTGTAAACCTGGAAGTAGTCAGAATAAGTGTTGGTTCAACTAAACTTTACTTATAAAGACATAATATTAACATTTGCATGGCATTGTCACTATATAGCCTCTTTGAAAGCTGTGTCGTTGATGGGACTTTAATTACCATGCATCACGAGACACAATTCTTAGCGTATAAATACAACACTGACCGGAACTACAATATCCAATATGAATAAACATGACGGCTGCTGAAATATCGCTGGGCATTGTGAGATTTGATAATACCATTGTATATGTATGTGCAAAATAAAAAATGAAATAAAAAAAACTTTTATTACAACGAAAACAAGACCAATGTCTGCAATATCGTACAAAATGCACATCGGTTGAAATCACCAATGCCGGCAATGGAAACAATTTTAACGCTCATGCAATTTATCAGAAATATCGTCTGTTACACTGCACTGATCAACAGGGGTTCGTTACAAATGTCTGAAATACACATATTCTATAGACCTACTGACACATATGTTACAGACCTACTGATATGAGTCACAGCACACATAAACATTTCAGACATTTGTAACGAACCTGTGCTCCGTCGCAAGATCACTCACTTCAAACGCTATCAGTTTCACGCGTCTCGCATCCACGGTTCCTCAGTTTCTGACGACATGTCAAATAACGAGGCTGTTATAGAATCTACCGACTGTTGTCAGGTTCCCATACAATCAACAAATACATTCACGCCTGGATTCTTCACAAAATGAGCAAAGAGAAAAGTTCGAATTAACTTCCAAAAATAACTCCCTCGTGGAGGGCAAGGTCGGATTTACGGTGTTCACTGTATTTGTCCATGCGCGAAATTTGTTCCGGGGAAAAATCGAAACAATTTCAAATCTAACTTTCAGCTCAGAGTTCTATTGATAAACTTAAATCACCCTATAGACATATCATACGCAATTGTATTGATACTGAATTGTGGAATAAAATTGAAGTGTTTGTTAAAATTTCAAAGTACTACTTTGTTTGCCAATCAGCACGCGACAATACGCTGTTCAAACTATTGAACGAAATTGTGTGGACTGTCGATAAGGCGGGCATTTTTAATCTTGAATATGAAGTATAAGTTAAAAAAGAACATAAGAGGCAGAGAAAACGTAAATATAAGTATTGAACTGTTTTTGTATGGTATTTATGATCTTAGCGCGCATTATGTTGTTTGCTTGCAAAGCTGTGTCATTCAAATAGATCATAAATACCATACAAAAACAGTTCAATGCTTAAGTATACAACATCAAAAATGTTATCAGCAATTCCAATTCATGATATAATCCTATTCCGTCTTTGCGTATTGCAGAGTTATCTTCTCTTGAGAGCAGGTATTGATTGTTACGTCATTGGTTTGTGTGAGAAAATTACGACGTTTTCTCAAAAATTGATGACGTTACTCTCACAAACAATTGACGTAATAATCAATACCTGCTCTCATGAGAAGATAACTCTGCAATACGCAAAGACGGAATACTTACATAGTGATACCTGTAGGCAAATCGATATTAAAACTCGATATCATGCGGCAAACAGCGGGTTGTGTAACGACAAGGATCACATATAACAGTATATAATAATTCACATTTCTATAGTATAAACGTATAGACAAACCGCCAAGGTGTATTTCTGTACAAAGTACAAAGAAATGTCACAATACAACACGTTAGTCAAACTGTATACAGAACAAGGGTTTGTTTCCGTTCATTCTCCCTACAAACTACAAATTAAACAATTACTCTAGATATATATACGCGAAACGATTTCACCTATTAGTCTTTGCATAGCTTGTGCAGTGTACTGGAGACGCATAAGAACATTAGTACGAGTGGAAAGGTTGTGAAATCAGTGTAGAACATTTCAGGCATATGTATCACAACTATATATTGTGTGGACAAATACATGTCACATACAAGTAGACGTGTATATATCCACCCAATAAACAAGTGCAGTCTGCAAGGTCTAATGGACACATATGGGTGATTTTGCATTTTCACGAATAGATGATCAGTTGTCTTCTGGAAAGTTAAAGTCTAACAACATTGGCTAACAAAACGATTTCCTGACATACAACACTGCACTATGTAGATGGGCAATTCTCTAATCACACTATAACGGTGATTTACATCTGACGGGTCACAAAAACGTAAGTACCATGTACAAGTATATAGCAATACAATATTTCTTATGTATTTTTTTATGCTAGAAACTATATCTTCATTGCAAGAAAAACAAAATAACGTTCGTATTTAATACTGTAATTACCCTTTATTTCTAACACAGGAAAGAAAAATAAATGTTATACGTACGTCGTGCTTATGTTGAGTTAAGGGGTAGCTCATAGCACGTGTTCTCTTCCGGCCATGTATATATCCCGTTAATCTTAAGGCGTGGTTCGGCAGGCTGATGTTGTGAATTCCAGATGATATTTGTAGAATACCTTTGAAAAAGTCCGGTATATTGTCGACGGCCGTTAAATTGTAATGTTTGCCATCGATTTTCACAATATTTGCATCAGTAACAAACACGAGCCAGAAGTCCAAACTGTTTGGAACATAAAAATATAGCACACCACTAATGAGTTCGTGTACTGGAGGAATCAGAACCATGGACGGGTCATTCATCGGTATCCCAATAAATAAGGTGACCAGGATTGGCTTGTCGGCTGTGAGTACACATATTGTTCTTAGTTGGACATAAGTTTGATACCATCTGGTTTCTGTTAACATGACGGACTTAGAAGTGTTATCTGAACAGGTGAAATTAACGGTGGTAGCAGGATCTGATGCTACGATTTTACACGTGTATGAACCTTTAGCTGGAGGAATGTTCACAAAGTACATACCCCAACTATTCACAGAAGGTATTTGTTCCACCAAATGGCCCCATTCTGGTTTGAATTGTAATAGTTTTTGTCGTATATTTCCGCTGAATACACTGATTGGATGCGATGCTTGAATGAATGTTCCTGTTAAAAATCCCCATTGACATTGTAGTTGTAACGTTTCGTATTCATCCAGTGTTGTACTTATCACTGTCCCATCCCTAAAGCGTTTACTATTAAACTTTATAATTACCTTCTTGTTTGTTCGAAGTGTGACGTTCACTGAAGTGCCATTGACTGTACCAACTAACAAAATTTGTGACAATTTTGATAAAGTGACCGCATAGAAACAAGTATCAGCATTCGTAACAGGAATGCTCAGGAACCCGTCCATCGAACTCTTGCCAGTTTTATTGAAACGGTTTACACCATAAATAATGACTCCGTCACCAGATTCCACCCTGATACCCCGCTGTGTCTTATCAGACCCTCTCACCATGTACTCTTCTGAAAAAGGTACAACTCGTGTTGTTCTGCCTGGAAGTGAAATACTTGAGAGCTGTGTACCTTTTGTTTGATAATTAACACAGGTGGTATTTTCACCTGTATTAACAATGTGGAAGGATAATTTACAGGAAGAGTTGGGCGCGTTCAAAATCTGGTTCTCCATAAATCCTATCATATAAACATTACGGGTCGTCTCGTTATGGCACAGGGCATCTGAAACATCAAAACATATCACTTTGTTACTTGAATGCTATAAATATACATGTATTTAAAAAAAAAATACGCAACAAGTTATTAGTTTTCGATCTGCGTGTTCTCTTGTGTTTAAAGATTCCAAAATGCACAGGATTTGGTCGATTTCTTAAGTATCGGCGACTCGAAGAAATCATTTATTCATACTTTATTATCATTCACTGCTGTTCCGTCTTCAGATTTCTATTTTTATATCCTATGAGTTGCCAAATTCTTGATCTGAATCAGGCTCAAATTTTGATTTTGTTTGTGGAGAGATTTGTAAAAAATGAATGTTTCAAATACAAAAATACCAAAGTGTGAACATGTACAAATAATCCCTTAATGAAGTTCGACAAATAAATATATAAATATAAACGTAAAGAAAATTACAAAAATACAACTCTTAATTTAAAATTACAAATCGTTCAAAATCCTAGATTAAAAAGCAATTAAGGTGTTCAAGTAGTTCCACAATAATCCATAATCAATTTAAAGTTTTGAACCCGATTAAGGAGTATTTCCTATTTCTGGCGGATTAATTGTCTACATCATTGTAACTTTATCTTCCATATCATACATGGTTATATGGTATTATATCCCAGTGGTGGTTTAGGGCGAACTTACGTATCATACATGGTTATAATTATGGTATAATATCCCAGTGGTGGTTTACAGCGAACTTACGTATCAAAACTGACTGCAGGAGAAGAAACCATGCTAAATCTGGACATCGAATGAAAGCCATATTCACCATGTGTCCGGAATGAACTGTGTCAAATTTGTCAACGGTCTTCTATGCAGGGAAAATAAATATGTTTATCATAGAGCTTCTGATTGGATAAAACCGATAGCCATTCACAATCATACCGCTCGTCCACTTATTGATTGAAGCGGATTACAGATTCATATTGTCGGGTAGCTCTCTTCATTCTCTTCATTAAAAGGCAATATTTACATTTGCATGGCATTGTAACTATATAGCCTCTTTGAAAGCTGTGTCGTTGATGGGACTTTAATTACCATGCAGCACGAGACACAATTCTTAGCGTATTAATACAACACTGACCGGAACTACAATATCCAATGTAAATAAACATGACGGCTGCTGAAATATCGCTGGGCATTGTAAGACTTGACAATGTCATTGAAAATTTATGTGCAAAATAAAAAATGAAATAGAAAATACACATATCTTATAGACCTACTGACACATATGTTACAGACCTACTGATATGAGTCACAGTACATAAACATTTCAGACATTTGTAACGAACCCCTGTGCTCCGTCGCAAGATCACTCACTTCAAACGCTATCAGTTTCACGCGTCTCGCAGCCACGATTTCCTCAGTTGCTGACGACATGTCAAATAACGAGGTTGTTATAGAATCTACAGACTGTCGTCAGATTCTCATACAATCAACAAATAAATTCTGGATTCTTCACAAAATGAGCAAAGAGAAAAGTTCGAATCAACTTCAAAAATAACTCCCTCGTGGAGGGCAAGGTCGGATTCACGGTGTTCACGGTTTTATCCATGCGCGAAATTTGTTCCGGGGAAAAATCGAAACAATTTAAAATCTCACTTTCAGCTCAGAGTTCTATTGATAAACTTAAATTACTCTATAGACATATCATACGCAATTGTATTGATACTGAATTGTGGAATAAAATTGACGTGTTTGTTAAAATGTCAAAGTACTACTTTGTTTGCCAATCAGCACTCGACAATACGCTGTTTAAACTATTGAACGAAATTGTGTGGACTGTCGATAAGGCGGGCATTTTTAATTTTAAATATAAATTATAACGCGCTAAGTTCAATGCTTAATTATATGCAAGAACGTTAATCGGAGTCACATATTCGCGATACAGATACACAAATCAGTACAGATTATTTTAGCATTGAGGATGAATTCTTTTATTTTCATCGGGGTATGAATAAATTTTTTTGGAAATTGTATGAATCCTCGTAGCGGATTCTTACAATGTTTGCAAAACAAAATCTTTTCATAACCCGATGAAAATAAAACAAATCATCCTCAATGCTTATTATCAATTTAAACTGATTGTCATGAAAAAATCCATGAACAAATAAAATCGATAGATTATTATTGATAGTGGCACTTTATCATATGTGCAATAATATTTCAACCAGCAACATTGTGTTTTTGCGTTCCCATGAAACGTCAAATGTCTCGTGCGATCAGCTGAGCGGAGAGAAGTCGTCGGCCATTTCAGTTAACTGTTCCGAGGCGGTAAAACACGATGTATGGCCTATTTTTGTCCGAAATTAAAGACGAAATGCGCAAACGACGAGTTGGATAGAAGGCTGACAGAAAGAACGTTATTTGAAGAAGATAGCTGAGTTGATTGTGTCATGGGCAGCATTACATTCGTTGCATTTAAAGCAAGTGGACAAGGACACCTGTTTTGAATGTCGGTGACTGTGTGTGATGGCACAGTTTGTGTATGTGTCCGGGAATCATTTGAAGACTGGTGTTCGGTTGAAGTTAACTATGGATGCCAGTGTTTCACATTAAGTGTGCGTTTGGCTGGTAGAACATCATTGACTGTAACTTCTTTCAGAACTTTCGTTAATGATCCCGGACATAGGCATAACTATGCCGCAGGTCGAAGCCGGTAGCTCGAAGCACAGGTGTTCGTTACAAATGTCTGAAATACACATATGCTATATACTGATATCGGTCACAGCACATGAGTATTTCAGACATTTGTAACGAACCCCTGTGCTCTAAGGCAGTGTGCTGTGTATATCGCCAATTTCCTCTGTGGCAAGGGACGACATGGCCTCCTTCCTGCAGTGATTGAAAAGGGGTCCCTGCGTGTTTGAACGGGACATTGTTTTCCTTGTACGGACTACATCGGTTTCCAAGCGGATGGTGCCTCAACAGTATTTAGTTCACTTTGCTGGTGTTTTTTTTTGTTATTACCTCGTATTCTCCATTTTCATCTCTCAAAATTGAACGAGTTGTAGTGAAACTCGTGATCTCTGCTCACAAAATACATCGCCATATTCATCGAAATACGATAACGGAGGAGGACAGGATTCTCTCCAGTAAGGCAGGTGTTAAAATATTATAGGACAGATAATGTGTTTGTCCTAAGTTGGCCTTGTGGTACCATTTCGTACATTTGCCTTTAATTATCATCCAACATACTACTGTTGGTACTGTGAAATATTTTATTTCCCAGTTTTTACAGACACGTTCATTGATTAGGAATATGATGTCCTGGTAGCTTCAAGAAAAGCATTCCAATTTCATTTGGGAAGATATGGGTTCGAGTCCTGGTCAGGGTAGATCATGCATTTTAATCATAATGAACGTGCACTCTACTCGTCAAATTTTATTATTGTATTTATTTCTTACCTCATCACCAAACAAACAAATGATTATGTGGGGTCTTCAGTCCTAAGCAGGACGCAGTCGACGTCATACATGCACACTCGAAACTGTTTGGCTGCCGGTATCTCTCGCCATTTTTACCGGCTGTAATTGTTTTCCGAACTTCCTTCTATTAAATTATTTAAGAAGCACTTTGTATGAACAGCATCTTCCAATTTAAATATGGAAGTGATTTGGCGATCATTCATTTTTGTCATAATTTCGATACTGCCAGATATGTTATATCGTTTGAATGGACTGAGAAGTATTGGTTCTTAAACAGTGGACACGAATTCGGGTCTCAATAATAATATAATGCTGCGAACGTGCAGATTTGAAGAATTCTTATTAACTCTATATGCATATATATAATGAGATATTCGATGTGATTGTCCAAATAAACCACTCTCGATAATAGCCTGAAATCGTGTAGTAACCCAAAGAAATGTACAACAAAAACTTCATCAGTATAATCATACTCGAAAGAAAGGACCAGATTTACTATGAATTAACAGGAAGTAGGTCGTTTTTTGTTTGAGCTCAGTATATACACTTTAAAATCCTGACAAAGCAAATTTAATTTACTGTCCCACAAATAACTAATTTAACATTTCTTTTTGCAATAAATGCCATACACTCTGTCTGAAGTTGGTT